GAAGAGAGACCGTGAACGTGAACTCGAAGCCGTGAGAAGAAGAAGAAGTCGAAGTTGTGAGAAGAAGTCTGAAGTTAGTCGTGAACTCGTGATTAACTCAAGAAAGAAGACGACGTTGTGGAGTAAGGAAGCTTCACTGATTTCAGATTCAGACCTAATTTAGCCCAAAAAATTAGGCCCATGGAATAACAAAAGCCCAAAATTTTGAACACTTTAATTATGTGATGTTTTACTTTTGAAACTATATTTCTAAACTCTAATTAATGCATATTATATATATAATTCTAAGAAATATTATGTTAACCGCTATTTCCGATATATCACCGATATATCACCGATATATCACCGATATAACCGATATATCGAATATCGGTCCTGACCGATATTTCGTATTCTGACCGATATAACAGCATAGCTAATATCAATATTTTTTTTCAATCTTTATGATATTTTCATGTTTATATTTTCTTTAAAAATAAAAACATTATCACTTTCTCAAAACACATAAAACCGAATTATAACATCGACTTAGACAAAAAATTAAAATAAAACAAAACATTGAAATACAAATGTATCTCACTGCATTGTGCGAGTACTGTTCTAATTAATACTAAGAGATTTAATCATGTATTTGCTTTTAACTAATGATTCTACGTCAATCGACCACATAAAACCACTAGATCTCAATGACTTCTTTTTTGGCGGTTTACTAAATTTTACCTCCTCTTCCACCGATTAACCAAACACTTGTTAGTAAAAGATGCAGAGGGTCTGTTTATTAGCAGTTTAATGAGCTTAATAAGACACACAACTTATTGGGTCTGTTATATATGACTGTATGATAATGACTTAATGATATAGATTATAAGTAAATAAGACTCGTAATCATATCTTTTTGATTTGCAGGTATCCATAGATTGTGCGATAGTGCTAAGCCCAAGCAAGCAATCTCTCGTTTCCAAGAAATGCGGATTCGATGGTTTGCAAGTATGATATTAATTTTGATCGTCAAGTAATCTTCTACGAAATGAAAAAAAAAAAGAGAAAATAAACCAAGTTTTTTTTATTTCGTTTGCAGAAATGTAAAAGGGTCGGATCTCATTCTCATCCCGTTGGGGAAATGTAGATTTTTTTTTCCTGTTTATATACGTTATTTTAAATTAAATATGTGAGATACGACACATGTTTAAATTTCATAAATTTCTAATAAACTTAAATTCAAAAGGACTCTAATTTAGTACCCAAATTTTTTTTCTTATTAAATGTTAAAATCTCTAAAAAAATCTGTTATTTAGTGATATTTTTTGAGACTGAGTTTTTCTTATTTACTTTAATCCAAATCACTTTCTTTTAATCTTCATGTGTCTATGTTGAAGATTCTGGTGGACTGGTCGACAGTCGATGATATGCAAATTTGATTCCATTTTCATGCAATTAACCTATTTTTTAGTAACTTCAAATTCCTTTATCATTAATTCTATAATTATTTTAGAAAGTCCCGACCTTTGTTATAATATCTTAATGTGCTTCATCAACGTTGGCCCCCTCGATTCCATTCACCGTCGGTGACTATCTCCAGTTGCAAGCACCACCTGTCGTCAGACCACCGTGGTCTACCCTCCCTGCAGCACCATTATCTTCCACCAACAGCTTCATCGACGACGTCTCATCCACTCCATTCACAGCCTCCTCCAACCGATCCTTCTTCTCCACTGACTCCAACCACCATGGTCTACTCCTCTCTCGATTCTTCACCATGAACCGCCCTCCATCTTTGCTCCCTCCCACCACTTGAAACCGTATCAAGCTTCGAACGCCCCTCTGTTTCCCTTATGTTCTCTCTCTCTCGAAAACCACTAGCACTCGTAGTCGTCGCTCAAAGACCATCTCCACCCCCATCATCGAACCTTCTTCCGTCCCCTGCACCTTTACAAAACTTCAAGATTTTTTTTTATTTTGTAGTTTTACCTGTCATATAGGTTGTAGGTTACATTTTTAAGTGATAAAAATGTATCTAATAGATTTTCAAAGGATTTTTTTAGCGAAAATCCAATAACTTGTTCATTTAAAAAGATTGTCCAATAACTTAATCATTTAAAATATAAAAGTCTATTGGGTTCTTTTTTAGACTTTTCCATTTGAAAAACATATTTCAAAGTCTAAAATCTATTTAAGGGTATAAAGTTTTAAATTAGCTAGGTTTGTTTTGGAAATTTATTTTTATAAAAAAAGAAACACGAAGTTTTGCCTTAAATAAATATTTTTCCAATTATTTTGAACATCTAACAAATGGTTCCGAAAAATAAAGATGAGATAAATCGTATGTGTTATTATAATAATCGTTAATACGAACTTTGACTGATATAATGACTTAGGGGGTGTCTGGGATTGCTTATTTGAAACAACTTATGATTTTATACAAAAACATTTATCAACTTGTTATAAGCTATAAGAGTTTAACTTCTTCAAAAACTTCTTATTACTGGTTTGGCACCGGTATAAGTTGTTTATCCAAACACTCTAAAGTGCTTATTACCGGTGTCACACCAGAACAAGTCAATAAGTTGTTTTTATAAGCAATCCCAAACACCCCCTTAGGGGCAGTTGGATATGTACCTTGAGTTGTGTGGTGTTCTTGAACCATCTCATCTCATGCACCCTTTTGGTTCAAGCCTGATGTTTGGGAGAACTCTTTTATTCAAGTATGTATTGAGTTCTTTTAAGGTTGGGAGTATTGTAACATTTATAATGATGTTGTTACTATTAGAATAAGTTGTGGGAAACGATCAAAAAACAATCGAGAAACAGTCTGAATGCGGCACAACAAAAATAAAAACTCGGGCGACCTGGCCCGTGACTTGGGTCTCGTCCAGATTCATCCTGGGTGATTTTTAAGCACGATTATCTAGTTTTTTCCCCACTTCTTCATTTCTCTCTTCTCTGGGGAGATTTTGGGAGCATTGAGATCGTTTTTGGGAGCTTTTTTTTTATGGCAAATGGAAGAATTAACATGGAGATTGAAGATCTATAGTTGGAGTCTCAAGATATATCTCTAGTTTGGTTGAAATCAAGGTCTGTCTTGGAGATAAAGACCTCAATTGTAGATTGATGAAAGGTTTCAAGTTCATAAAGAGGTAAGTTTATCGAGTATTTTGACCTCTATATTTGAGGGATCATTGGGGATTTAAAGTTTTATGTTAATATATGGTACATTTCTAGACTTGTATAACACCCATAGTTTTGTGGGTACAACATTTTGGAATTGACGTTCTTTCTATGAGCTTTTTGAGGTCTTTTAGTGAGTGGAATGCATTGTGTCATGTAAACAATTGGTGCTGGTGCGGGTGCGGGTGAGGGTGAATTCTGGTAGAGAAAAAGGTGTACCGGGAACTAACAGAAAGTTAGGGTTGTATCTTGAAGAAAGTCAAGCAGGAATAGATGGCCTGCCCCTAGCCTCTTTGCCCCTCCCGGTTCGGAAGCAGAAGTATTTTCAGCTCCCGAAGGGTAATGCTGCTCAATTTGAGAGGTGAAGCCACTTATCCACCACTTAAAGTCGTGGGCCACTTTGCGCAACTTTCTATTATGAAATTTTGAGTTTCTGTGCACGCATGACTAGCCCCGTGACTTAGGCCGTGGGAAGCCTCTGACGGGTTTTAAACCCCATTTTTTATCTAGGGTTTGTCCATTCTTCACCCACTTCATTTCTCTCCACATTTTTGGGCAACTTTTGGGGTCCCAAATCTTCAAGTGGAAGGATTTTCTAGATGATTTCTGCGAGGGTGGAGCTTATGGAAGATTGAGTCTCAACTCTTCAAGATCTCCATTGTTGGAATTAAAGGTTTTAATTACCATTCTTWCAWCCCTCTTTATCCTTTCTTCTAGGTGTGATCTAGAGACCTTGGAAGGATTTCTTGTTGATATAAGAGTTGGCAAGTTGAAAGAACCTTGTGGAAGTTTTGGAGTTAAGATTTGGGGGTCTAACTTGGAGATATCAAGTCTTCACCAAAGGAAGCTCAAGATTTGGGGTAGGAACCTAGATTTAGTATAAATTTAGCAAGGTGAGTTCTAGTTGCTTTGCAAAACTATATACATGTTAAAATATCTCTGTTTTGGATCTTGAACATATTCCCATGAGTATACTTCATATTTGATGAGTTTTGTGTTTTTGGTGCATTTGGGTATGTTTTTGTTTCGATCTTGAATGAATGTTCATAATGGGTTATTTTGTGACATAAATCTTCAAGGTTTGCGCTAAATAATATTTGTTGTATCAAATGGGATTTCGTGGATGTTTAGACAATTTGGGAGCAATACATGGTTTTGATTTTGGAAAATACTGATTTGGGATTTAACCCAACTTATGGACTTTATTAAAGGAACTTGAGCCCTTTTGGTTATAAACGTGTAAATCTTTGGTAAACGCCTATTATTGACTTCGTGAGGATCTTGAAAATATAAACTATTCAGTTTTGGACCTCTTGCTTTTATACTTCAATAAAATGATGATTTGTGGACCGGTCCATTTGTGGGTGTCAAGTATGTTACAAATGTTTGGAAAATATGTTTTTTCGGCTTATGTGGTTTACATTGACTTTATTTATACAGTCAAATGTTCTGTGGGCGTTTTGGCTTGATTTCAACTCAAATGGGTTTTGAGGACATTTTTCTGTTTAAATAGCTCAATATGAAGCTTTGAACGTAAAATGCATTTATTGCAAATTTGTTGGATATTACATGTTTTGAGTGCGTTAATAACATAATTTTAGACTGTAATGACTGGATCCATAGGCATAGGAGTTTGTCTTGTGTTTAGGTGTGGAGTTTTCATGTCCACACTTAAGTCTAGTAAGTGGTCCCCAAGTTATGGTTTGAGAGCTTATAGTGGTACCTTACTAGGTCATATACGGAGCTAGTAGCCTGCGGTAGTACTCTATTGAGTTGTATACGAGGCTAGGTCTTGCAGTGGAACTCATTGGAGTCATATACATACTCAGTGACTTCTGTGATGAGACTCATCTAAAGGTCGAGCAGACACTAGGGTCATTGTGGGAATCTTGCGGTGGTAGTCATTGTAGTCATATACGAGGATCTGTTACCTAAGGTGAAACTCAAGAACATCGATAAGTGGGTTACATTCGATAGAATCGGATCTCCCTCGTCACCAAAAGGTGGTGTTTTGTGTACTTCCTTACCTATGATTTCAGTGTTTTGAATATAGAGTCGTAATGACTTACATTTTAGATAAGGGGTATATGATTTGGAAATAACGAGATTTAGATGATATTCCTTTTATGTCTTATATTTTAGATATGGGGTTGTTGTTTAATGGAAAATGTTCGTTTTAACCGTTTTATGTTTTATATGATAAACCCGTTTTAATTCACTAGACGTTAAGCCTAATACTTTTTCTTATCGACATGTATATCAGGTTTGAGTGAGATATGAGAGGCGTTTGGAGCTATGTAGAGGTTTTGGTAGGATGGTTTTAGAAGCGTCATTTCAGTGATAGCAGATTTGATGGTTTTAGTAACTCCTGATCTATTTTAATTCTGTTAAGTATTAGATTGTCCCGTTTAGAACCCCGATGCATTCTTGCTCTCTTTCTTATGTAAATTTTAAATATTTTGTTATCAAACATGTTTTAATTTGAAGAATTTTGGAAGTTTTAAATTGTCCGCTATTCTGTAAATTTAGGGGTCTTACAACTTGGATTCTTGCCTTTAGAAGATCTCCAGAGATTTTTGCTCATGGGTTGAACTATTGAAGTATTCATCTTTTGGAAGCTAATGATGGGTTTGGAAACGGTGAGTTTCACGTTGATTTGTAAAAATTATGTACATGCTAAAATGTTCATTTTGGAGTCTTAATGTGTTTTCTTGATATTTATCAAATATGTTGATTATTTGATGAGATTTACAACTTTGGTACATTTGATTTTATAAATCTTGTGAAATACCTATATTTGGAGGAGTTTCGACATTTTGAGATATAATTCTAAAGTGTGGTCTTTTGTGATTTATTAMGTAAATGAATATTATT